TGTATGTAGACAGATCATGTTGTGTTTCCACACAGACCTTATTGTTTGTTAACATAGCATGTTGTGTGTGCACACAGACCTTATTGTTTGTTAACACAGCATGTTGTGTGTGCACACATACCTTGCTCTTTGTTTACAATGTCGTTTGCCCACATAAACCTTACTGTTTGTTAACAGATCATGTTGTGTGTTCACGCAAACCTTGTTGTTTGTTAATAAACCATGTTGTTTGTTGATAGACTATGTTGTTTCCACAAAGACCTTGTTGTTTTTTAACATACCATGTTGTGTGTCCAAGCAGATCTTGCTGTTTGTTGACAGATCATATTGTGCATCCACATAAACCTTGCTATTTGTTGACAAACCACGATGACATTCCTTGTTGTTTGTTGACAGACATTGTTGTTTCTCCACACAGATTTGGATGTTTGTTAACACACTATGTTTTGTGTCCCCACAAACCTTACTGTTTATTGACAGGATATAATTTGTGTCCACATGTACCTTGCTGGTTTTCACAGACTATGTTGTGTATCAATTGACAATGTTGAATATCAACACAGTCAATTTAATGGTAATCAAATCGCTTTATTTGTTTCAATTACAAGTCCTAGCTTTTAAGCCTAAGTTCACAGTAGACGCTAATAGTGCAATTTCGCTAACTAACTTCTCTCCCGTGTACGGCACTTTCGCTTATTTCTATTTCTTCACTGAAATACAAACTCCAAATCTACTAAACTTGACTATCAGACACACTGACTAATAAACTGCCAATTGCGTAATCAGTCATTCACTGTAACAGATCCATAAATCAATAATTACTTCAGCCTAAATCGCGTTTTATATTAACCATATCGTTTCCTGTCCCCCTGTGTGTCAGCAGAAAGTTTACAGTTTTAAAACGCAGAAATCCGAGATTCGAATCACTGCGTTCACACAGAAGATAGCCCAATGTAGTTTTGCGTTAAAAGAAATACACATATCGTTTCCTAAACTTTGAAAAAGGTTCATGTCATTATGCCACACCTATGACGCTACGTAAAAACTTTCTCTGGCTACACAACAATATAAACGTCTAAATTAAAATATATATATATTGTTACGTCTCCGTTTGTTAATTAACTTTCCCTAACTTCGTTCAGACGAAAC